GAAAGGACTTAATAGCTCCTGGCACAGAATAAACACTCAGTAAATATTAGTTGTTACTGTATATACTAGAGGCCCGTGCACCGGTGGGGTCCCTCGGCCTGGCCTGTGGGGATCGGGCCAAAACCCGGCAGTCCGACATCCCCCAGGGGTCCCGGAGTGCGAGAGGGCACTCTGCAAAGTTGCTGTCGCTCAGCAGCTCCTGCATTGACTGTCTGCCCCCTGGTGGTCAGTGTGTGTCATAGCTACGGGCCAGCCAGTCACTTAGGCTTTTATATAGAGAGATTGTTATCATAATTATTATTATTATTATTACATAGCAACAAAACACCATCCTGATTTCTAACAATTAAATTGGGTAGCAAACTACCCTAGAACTTGCCCTTTTCAATTGCAGACTTGGAGTTTCCATACAATTCTTTGACCAGAATTTAAACCCAGTCAGTTACTGGTTGTATCTCAAAACTAATTTTGGCCAAGCTTTCCTCATGGGACCCTACAGGCTGAAGACAACTTGACTTCCCCTGCCCTTCGCCTACCTCTCCCACCCCCACCCCACAGTTCACTCCTCCTGCCGGTTCTCACTCAGGAGGAAACAGTTCCCTGCTTCCAGTTCCTTAAACACTACACCACCCCACCATTCCCCCCATGTGCCTGGTTTCCTCAAACAACAAACCAGTGCTGACCCACAGATACCAGCATGATCCAACTTTCCACGATGGATTATGAAGTCCTTCTCAAACCTTGACATCGCTATACCCAGTTGGACTTGGTTTTCTGATGAGTTCACAAAGGTCTTCTAGAATTCCCACATATACCTGCCTACACAGCATCATTCATAAAAGACAAAAACTGGGAAAATTCCAGACTTCCATCAAGAGAAGAATAAGCAATAGTTGTAGTATATTCATATAATAGGCCAATCTTTGGCAATGTAAATGAAAACATAAAATGACATAGATGAATCTCACTGTCTGATTCATTTATATATAGTTCAGAAACAGACAGAGCTAATCTCTGGTTAGAAGTCAAGACAGTGGCTCCTATCGGGAGCAGGGGAGGGAAGACCTAGAAACAGAAGCAATGCTCTGCTCTTCAGTGTGGGTGGTACACATACAAGTGCGATCTCACTGTGGGAAGTCACCAGGCTGTGTACACTGATTTGTGGACTCCTCTCTATGCAATTTCAATTTAACTTCAATTGTTAAAAAGGTTGTAATAAATGCATGTAAAAGGTTGAGATGAGTCATTGGTTCAATTTTTAGTTCTCATCCTATGCCTAAAATGTCCTGAAATGAGCACTCTACCCCTCTGCTTCTGTTCCACATCATAAAGTAGAGATCAAAACCTCCATCTTGCCCTGGCCAGTGTGGCTCAATTGGTTGGGCATCAACCCATGCACCAAAGATTGCTGGTCCGATTCCCTCCCACATCTATGTTTCTTTCTCTCTTTCTTTCTTTCTTTCTTTCTTTCTTTCTCTCTCTCTCTCTCTCTCTCTCTCTCTCTCTCTCTCTCTCTCTCTCTTAAAATAAATAACAAATAATAAAAATAAATAAAATTATTTTTTAAAAAGCCTCCATCTCATAGACTGGTTGGGCAGATCAAATACAACAAGGAATACAAAGTACTTTGCAAAATGTTCAGGGTTTTACAAAGGCAAACAGTATATTCCAAGACAAAAAGGTAACTTCTGCAATATAAGCATGCATGGGACAATCCTTGGACAGGGATTTAGACATTTACATTGTTTTCTCCAGGTAAACATTTACTGTAACCCCGCTGTGTACCTACGCAGCTAGAGATGAAAAACTGTGTAGCTATGATCGTGGTAAGTACAGGGAAGCACAGAAGCGAAGCCTGGGCGAGTGTGGACCGAGTAGGGGTTGGGGGTAGGGACCCACACCGAGCAAAGTGCCCCTGCTGTCACAGACCATTAGGGGAAACTGTCTATTTGAGTACTGGCCATTTCCTTGGCTTCTTTCGAAAGTTCAATTGTCCCAATCTCAACTACTAGAGCTACAAAAAGCTTGAACCTTCTCCCTACAGTTTTCACTGTTGGTGTAGTTTCACTGCTGGAGGGTTTTGGGGTTTTTTCTTTAGGGCTATGAGAGAGTCCAAATAGAGGGAACAACTTTACATCTTGCTGTTGTTGCTGCTGGTAATGAGGAGAGCAGAATAAGTCCAGGAACATTCCACAAACTCTCCCACCCTTGTCGGGGTCACAGCATATAGTTTTCTTTAAGACCTAACCACAGTGAGAGGAGGCCGAGAACTTCTCCGCAGCACAGACGTCACCCAAGGCTGCCTCCGATCCACTGACCCCGGGGAAATGAGGAGAATTCACTTCTCAACACCTTTGAAGGTGCAACCCATCAACTCCATGTGGATTTTAAAGGACCTTCTCCGTATCACTCGATAAATGCTCGATGCGTTTGAATTACTCCCGTCTTATAAAAGGATGTTTTCTAATTTGCTTCTTTTCTCTTCCCCACATCCCTGGAAAGAAGATGCCGGACAGAGGGACAGTCAATGACACTGGATAAATGCAGTCCCCTCAAGTGATTTGAGACGGGAAAAAACTAATTTTTCCTGAGAAGCTAGCCACAACCCTTTGGAACACCAGGGTACCACAGATGATGAAAGTGGCCAGCCCCAGGGAAGAAAAAAGACGGGACCCATGTGAGCTCTCCAGATAGATTTGACATCATATCCTGAGTAAAACCAGGCTTCCTTCTCCAGCCGAAAGAGAGGGGACTGGGTACCTTGTCTCCTGCAGAAGTGCTTCCGCCTGACACAGCGCAGATAACAGCTCCCCACTTGGCAAAGCCCAGCAGGCAATTTCACACCAGTCAAAGCAGCTCCATGGAGCAGCAGGGGGGCCAAAAACCAACTTTTATGGGAAACCTCAATGTATTCATGTGAATAATGATACTGGCAGGTGAGGAATAAGCTCTGGAAAGCTAAAGAGTTTTGAATGCTGTTCCCTCGTGGAGTCTCCCAGCCACGACTTACAAGAATTAACACCTTTTTAAACAGGTAACTCAAGACAAGACCTGTGACTGAACAGTGGCAATTCTCCAAATGCACTGACAGCGACATGGGAATGACATCCATAGGATGCAATTATGGGAGTAGCCTGAAGGGTTAACATGGACTTTCTAAAGAATCCAACGTTATAAAGTTAGGTGCAGGTTCAGAGCATCAGAAAAGGGGCTGCCAGAGTGTGTTTGCAGCAAGATGACCCGTCATTTATTCCTTTCGTCAGCTCATGAAGTAGCCATTACTTTTTTTTCCCATTTTGTTTCATTGTGTCTTTTTGGAATTGCTTGGTTGACATCTTAGTCTTTAAAGTGGGTTTCAAGCAATCTTTAGAACTTTTTATTACCACTAGTCTTCATCTACATCAAGTTCCAATTTATTCGTGTCCTCGATGTGGTCATTTTCAAATACATCCACAAATTCTTTGCTATTTCTCCCTTCAAGGAATACAGCTAAATTCCTCTCCCTTGGAGGGTGGTCTGGCTTGGCGACTCACTTCCGATGAGCAGAATAAGGGAGAAGTGAAGGTACGCCGTTTCCCAGACTGAAGACGGAAAGGGCCCGGTGGCTGTGTCCTGGCTCGCTCCAGCATGGGGTCACGTGCACTGGGAGGCCAGCGTCATGTCGTGAGGACACTCAAGCACCTTAAAATAAGATAACTCGAGAATTGTTACATTTCTCAAAAGTGGCAAAATGGCCCGATCATCTGAGCTTCCTTGGCAGTTTGATTAAACATGAGTTCAGGTGATCGTGTCATTCCCTAAATTCATCAGTGGGCCAACTTCTCCCTCCCTGTGCCTCCCTCTCAAATGCTAGCCACCTATTTCAAAATCTCCTTAAGAACTGGATCTTGTGCATCTTAATACTCCCTGCAGTGCCCAAGTAACAGGGCAACCTATGAAAGGTTTTCCAGAAATTATCAGGACTGGTTAGTATCTCAGGCCATCTCTTCTCCTTACCCAAAAGCACCCAGTAGACATGGCGTCTCTGAAGCACATTATCTAGAGGCATACCTGGGAAACAGGGCAGGCCTGGTCCCCCAAATGGTGTGATGCAATGCCGTGGCTCACACAAACTTGCTGGTTTCCTGGTGTATGTAAAAGTTATGCTTGCAATATACTGTAGCCTATTAAGTATGCAATAAATAGCATTCTGTCTAAAAAATGTACATGCCTTACTTTAAAAATTCTTTATTGCTAAAAAATACTAACCACCATTGAGCCTGTTGGGGAAATGGCACCAACAGACTCACTCAACACAGGGTCGCCACAAACTTTCAATTGGTGTAAAAAAAAAAAAAAAAACCACAAAAAACCGCAATATCTGAGGGGCGCAATAAACCAAGGTTCAATAAAAGGGAGCACAATAAAACAAGGTATGCCCACAATGACTTCTATTTTTCTCAACTGCCAAGTTAGAGTTGAAACCTTAGCCTCCTCTTTGACTCACAACATTCTTGTCCAAATTATACCGCTGTTACCAAAAAAAGAAAAAAGAAAAAGTTTGCTCCTTTATTTGACGTCTGACATATGGTTCTCACTAACAACCCATACATACATATCACAGAGGGTCACAGTCTAACAGTGGATGGTGCTATTCAAGATGAATGATGTCGCTTGTAAATGACTTCACAGTTTATGTAAGTAACGACGCTGGAAAAAAATAATTGCCGTGCACAGCAATCTGACTCTGAGTGCCAAGGCATAGTTCAACGCAGAACGGTTTTGGAGATCCAGAACAATGCTGGGAGATGCCTCAGTGTGATATAACCGAAGCTTTACATCACTTCAAGGACACAGTTACATTCGTGTTCTGGCACCAAACAGCACCACAATCCTTTACAGAAGGGGTCAGCAAACCACAGCTCATGGGCCAAAAAGCTGGCCCACGGCCTATACGCTAAGAATGATTTTTGCATTTTCAAAGGGTTGAGGGGAGGGAAAAAAAATCAAAAGAAGAATGATATTGGGTGACATGTGAAATTTATATGACATTCAAATTTCCATAGCCATAAATAAAGTTTTATTGGAGCGGTCACACGTTCATTTCGGCATCGTCTGTGGCTGATGCTGCGTTATGACGACAGAACCGAGGAGCTGCGACAGAAACCGTATGTCCCCCAACGCCCAAGAGATCTGAGCCTTCACAGAAGAAGTTGGCCCCCCTCCACTTCAGGGCGTGGATGCTGGGTCCTGCTGCCTCCACTCACAGCCTCCTGCTTATTCTCCCTAGTCTGCCTGCATTTTAATCCAAACACTTATTATTATTAATTATTATTATTATGGCCTTGAACAAGTTACTTAACCACACTGCACCTCATTGTCCTCATCTGTAAGTGGGGTTAATAACAGTGCCTACCACTTGGGGTCATTGTAAGTTGTAAGTTAATAATATACACAAAGCATTTGAAACAGTACCTGGCTAAGTCACTAAGTATTAGTTAGGAAAGCTGTTACTAAGTACTAATTATAACTACTATTCCTTCTTGCTGAGAGTTGCAGGATATAAATATTTTCCAAATAAAATGCTCCCCATGTGGTTAGATTTCAAACTAGCCCCACCCCCAATCTACTTATCACGGCAGAAGTGAAGTGGGAGACAATAAGAAATGAGAGAAAAAATGAAGAAAACCAGAAAGAAGAGGACTGAGGAGGGAATAAAAAGAGAAAGAACAAGTTAGAAGGACCCCACTCCGCGGGGACAGTAGGTGGCCTCTTCAAACGGGAAGTATAAATTAGGGTAATTTCACCCATAGGAGCAGACTGAATAATGCCTGCGGGCGGACTGGATCCTAAGCACCACGTGGACCCTGTTCCTAGGGGGGAGAAAACACTGGAAATTCCAAGCTTACAAATGCACTCCTGGGTCAAGCCCGAGCTTAAGCTGAGGACTTCCTGTATTTTACATTCCTAGGCAAATGACAAGTGATAGTTGCGGTCAATCCTGCGTCTTGTTATCCACGCGGAGCAGCTAATTAAAAGGCACCGATCTGCACCAGGGTCCCGGGCAGCCGAGACGCACTCCCCGTGCGACACAGAGGGGCACCGGGAGACCGGCCTTGATCCAGGGTCTCATCCTGTTCAGAACAGCACTTCCCAACGCTCAGAAAAGGCCTCGTCCCCATAAATAGAACACAAGCTCATTCCCCAAAGACGCTCCTGCACGGCAGCTGGCGGGTGCACTTCACCTGCTCCTGAGGCCGGGACATTCCCTTCCCGAGGCCTCGCTTCCATCGGAATACCTTCTCTGTACAGAGTGGGGTCCCTACCTTCTCCGTGCAGCTTTAAAAATCACACTATGTCTCTTTCAAATTATTATTTCAAAACTCGAGAGCACTCCCTCCCCAAAACAAGGATTTTTAAACTCACAGCTCCACCATAATCAAACAATTCTCTCTCCTATTCCCTTCCACCCCGGCTCCCTGTAATCTCTGCTCCTGCTCTGGTCTGTGCTTAGAGTAAAGCTTCCCTGCAGAGGCTAAACGCACACATCGAGTATTTCTCAGAGACGTGGAGTGTGAGCATAACATGTGAAACCTTAAGGAAAAGGAAGACAGACATTACTATGCAAGTGCTTGCTGCACACTGTGCAGGGAAAGGAGAGTGGTTTAAAGCGTGATTCGTCTAAGAGAGTAATTAAGATGCCCCCGGGCCGGAGGCAAGTTCAAAACACTCACTGAGAATGTATCTGCTGGGCGAGTCCCACGGACGGCTTGGGCTTGAGGGTCAAGGTCATCTGGGCCACGGGGCTGACCCTTGGGAGGGTGTCTGCCTTCTTCGATGAAGTGCGCTTCGATGCTTGCTCAGGAGGGACCCAGGAGGCCGCAGCCCCGGGACCCTGCCCTGCAAACACTGGCGATGAGGTGTCCTGGGCGGCTGTCATCTCACAGGCTTTGCCCTTGGTCCCTGGTTTGCACACACAGAGTTGAGGCCGGAGACACATCCCTCCATTCTGGCACGGTGGCACACAGCTGGCTGCAGAAACATAACAGGAAACACATTGGAAGGAAAGCATTACAGACTTTACGAATTCTTCCGAAGGCTTAGCAGCAGCATCCATCAATAGTCACCAATAAAATGAAACCCTACTTAAAGATGTGAAGATGATGAAGGTAGTGATGGCAGCTAATGTTTATTAACATCTTTCTATGTGTCGGGCACTGTTCTACTACATATCAACAAATTTGCCCGGCCAGCGTAGCTCAGTGGTTGAGTGTTGACCTATGAACCAAGAGGTCATGGTTCGATTCCCCGTCAGGGCACCTCCCTGGGTTTCGGGCTCCATCCCCAGTGTGGGGCATGCAGGAGGCAGCCGATCAATGATTCTCTCTCATCATTGATGTTTCACTCTCTCTCCTTCTCCCTTCCTCTCTAAAATCAATAAAAATGTATTTTTTAAAAATTTTAATCCCCAAGCAACCGTTTTAGTAGATATTTTATTCTGCCCATTGTACTGATGAAGGAGTTTTATAGCTGCCAAAGGTCACACAATGATTAGTAGAGGGAGGAGCTGGGGTTTTTATCCAAGCGAAGTAGCTGCCGAGCCATCATTCTCATCACTTTACTCTAGCTGCCTCTCAGAAATGCATCAGAAACTTAGAAAACTTATGAAAACGCTCTGCCCTTCTTTCTAAACGGTGCCCTGTGGCGTCAGTTTAAACTTTAGGCATCCAGATAAGACTTGGCAAAGTAACAAAAGCCCACGCCCAACCACAGCCCCCTCAAAAAGTGCTCCAGACTTCATCTTGCAGGAGCCACCAGAGCTCAGAGACAATCTTTCAGAAATGGGGTCCAGCCACTTTTTTTTTACGTGAGAGAAATTCAAGATTTAAAAGGTTGAGAGTCGCCCAATATACATTTTTATGCATTCGCCAGTGCACTGTCCATCATCCCTAATTTCATAATGAAAGACAACCCAACAGAAACATCTCCTACTTTCGAGGATGTGTGTACTTTGCATCACCAGGCTTGTGGCCAAGCAGAGTTTTAAAGTCAGGAGGGCTCTTTGTCTCCGGCACAGTAATTGGATTTTATCGGTCCCGTGGGAGTGCACATGTTACTAACATCAGTTTGATTAGGTTAATGTCATTGGCCTACAAACATCATTTCTTCAGCCCCTTCTTTATTTGTCCAAGTACAGGTGTGTATGCCAACCTTTGGCCATCAGTGCACCTTGGACTGAAACTCTTGGTCCTGAGGGAGACAAGACTAAATCTCCCTTAACATTCAATGCAAGATTCAGTCCACAGACAACTGTGAAGTGGGTGAGGGGTATGAGCCAGAGGAGGCTCAGTATGGAAGACGGAAAAGGCCTGAAACCTACTGATTTTCTTTAAAAGAGAGACGACACTCTTCCCATCTTTCTACAATATGAGTCCTATTAGTTATAGCAAATAATGACAAGAAATGAGTGTCAAGTGTCAGAACACTGAGCTGACAAATTTTCCAAAAGTTGAGAAGGCTTCTTAAAAAAGAAAAAGAGAAGAAAGAGGGAGAGGGAGAGGGAGGGGAGGGGGAGAGGGACAGAGAGAGGGGGAGGGAGAGAGAAGGGGAGGGAGAGAGAGGGGGAGGAAGGAGAGAGAGAGAGAGAGAGAGAGAGAGAGAGAGAGAGAGAGAGAGAGAGAGAAAGGAAGACAGACGCAGCCAGCTCCCTAGGTGACCCCTTGGGGCAAGTTAACCTTGGCCTCTGCACCTGTACATGTTTGGGGGCAGAGGGAGGGCAGTAGCTGCTTGTTCTAAAATGGTCCCCACGGGTCTTCCCATATGAGGCTTCTAGGATTCAAAGTCAAACACGATGCACTTCTGGAGTTCAGGATTCTCATTTATCAGCGCTTTCCTGGCGGGTAATCATCGGGTCCCTTCTGGGCCGTGGGTATTTATGGAATGTCCCTGAATGGAAACAGGCTCCACCCGGGGAGAACAGCAGCGGCCGAGAGCGAGGACTGGACTGGCTTCCACAGCCAGCTCTGCCAGAGAGCCCCTCGGGCACTTTCATGTGTGCATTCTCCTCATGCTTTCCATTAGAGCCGCGGTTCAGTTTAACATCTGAGAGTGATTTCCGCTTCTCCTCCCTCCCAAGGTGTAGCCTGCTAATCCCCCGGGGAGGCTGCCCAGACAGCGCAGCCTGCAGAAGCTGGTACCTGTGGAGGCCAAGGCCTAGAGTGTCCCCCCCCCCCCGTCCCCGCCCTGAGTGCCACTGAGAAGGCACAGTAAGACCTGTCCTTGGAGGACATGGAGGGATTACAAGTGAAAAAGGGCAGAGATTGTTCTTAACGCTTCAAATGCTGTATGTGGTAGGGGGACAGAGAAAGAATAATAAGAGAAAGAATTTAAACCACAAAAATTTTCTACTGGAAGAAAAAGAACATGGTATGTAATCGTGTGACTCTGCGCAAGACCTCCCTCTTGCAGTGAATTGTGAAAGGACAGTGAGGAGGAGGATTCGACCATTTCCTCTTCCCCCCACCCCACGAGGTTCCGGCAGCAGCCCCTTGGAGCAGGCAGGCAGAAGGGACAGGCTTGAACTGGGGGGCTTTGGGGGGGCAGATTCCCTAACTGCCAAGACAAGCCCCTCACCTGACATGAGAAGCAAAACTCATGTGCTGCAACCAGACTTCACCAAGCCCTCTCTCCGACCATACTTGGGCCTCAGGCAGCAGTGGTTCTCACACGGCACTTCTCAGCGTGTGGCGCCGGGACCAGCAGCAGCACCGCCTGGGAACACTTCCGAGGTGCCCTTTGTCGGCTGCTCCGTCCAGAACTGGAGCCCAGCAGTCTGACTGCCCTCCCGGTGGGTCCGACGCACACTCGAGTTTGCAAACCACTGACAGACAGCATTTAGAAGCACAGGCTTCCACCAGCCGATTTTTTTGAGGATTTCTATTTTTATCATGGCAAGTTTAGTGTTTGCACACTACCCGTGCTTTCATTGCATTGAATCCTTGCTGTGATAAAAGTGTTTGTTTTATGTGGCCCTTTTATGTTGAATGCAAAATATAAAAATAAATGTTTCACGGGACCAAATTCTCAAGATAAATATGGGTCCCTCCCAAGAGTTTAGACATATGGTCACCATCGACTTCATGGCCAGCGTAAACGTGTGCAGGCGTTTATGAGAACACTGCTATTCTGAGGTGTTGGGCTATGTGGAATATTACACATGCATATTACAGAAGTACTTTGAACATGCTGTTTCCACCATTTGATTCTGCATTTTCCTGGCCAGCTGTGGGTCAGCACCATGCGTCACCATTACATGAAGATCTTATCAGAGGGCTGGGAAGTGGGTCTCAGGCTCGGCTGCACCTTAGAATCAGCCGGGAGCTTTGAAAACTCTCAGAAACCCAGGCCTGAGATGGGCGAGAGGTGAGGAGAGCGGTGAGAAGGGGGAAGGGATTGAGATGTACAAACTGCCCGTTATGAAGACAGTCGCAGGAATGTAAAGCACAACACAGGGAATAGAGTCCATGATACTGTAATAACTACGTACGGTGTCAGATGGGTACTAGGTTTATCGAGGTGATCACTTCGTAAACTATATAAATGCCTGATCATCAGGTTGTGCACCTGAACTAATTATTACATGTCAACTGTCATTGAAAAATTTTTTACATTAAAAATAAAAAAACAAGGCCCAGGCCTAACGCCAGCAAACTGCATCAGAAACTCTGGGAGATGGAGCTCAGGCATCAGTATCTTTACTTTGTGTTACATCTCCCAGTGACTGCAACCGGCAGCCAAGCTTGAGAACCAATCGGTCAGGGAACAAAACCCTCATCCAGACTGCGGACAGACCAGTTTTCCTAAAATGTAGCTCTCTAGAATTTTCCCTCCTTCATTCAGCAACTTTCAGCACATTGTAGCTGCCCCTGAAATACATCGAGACCCTCTCCATCTAGCCCCACCTCACCCCCACCATCACTGGCCCCTCGCCCATCCCTGCAGAAGCTCCCCACTCACCTGCACACAGGTGACCCATCCTGAAGCAGGGCCCTTGGAGTTCTGCCCTTCTGAACCCGCACCCCCTTCCTATGAGGTCTTTCCCAAACGCCCCCCACCCACCGTGACCTTTATATCACCTGAACTTCTGTCCCATTTCATATGTGCTTTCACTTATTATTAAGCATCTTTTAACATGGTTCTCTTATTGCCCAACTGGATTCTAAACTGTGCAGTCAGACCATTGGCTTCTGCAGAACTTATATGCTCAAGGACGGGAGCCTGAACTTCACCTTGGCTGAATGACTGATGTGAATGTAGAGACACTCCTTTGCTAAGGATGCTGGGATGTCAGGACATCTGTAAAGGGAAGGTAACCAATCAATGGGCTCTTAATGCACTCCATAATAACGCCCGCACCTCCAGACTTAGTTTGCATGTTGTTGGATCAAAGAGTCTCCAAACCCTCCAAGATGTTTTAAAATCACAATTATGTTAAAATATACTCTGCTCATGTATAAGGAACGTCTGTAGTGGCATTTCACAGTATGCTTGTTAAAGAAAGTTCCAGAAGCTCAGGCCCCGTGGGTTCTAGAAGAACTCTGAAAGGGGGTCATTCTGAAACAACTGGTCAAGGACTGACAGAAGAGAATATAGCAATGGGCTGGGGGAGCGGTGACAAGCTACTGAACTTCCAGCACAAACACACATAAAGGGAATTCGCCCAAGAAGCTCAAGTGCAGTAGAAACAAGAAGAGCTTCTGAGAGATATTCCGCTTGTGAAAGGACTGTGGAGGGGGTCCCAACTCATAAAGCAGATAATCCAATGAAAGGACGCAAGATAAGCACGCTGAGTTCACCCTCTAACTACCCCCTCCATTCCAAACGCAACAGCGATTCTGAAAGGTGTTTGTTTTTAGGTTAAAAAGCTAGGTTTCCACGGTTGGCCAGGCTGGAATAACTGTTACCAAACAAGCCCTTTTTCCATAAACAACTAAAAGCATGGATGAAAGATACAAAACAGCTGTTGTCGAGCC